GCTATCAACACGAAGTTTACAGTTCCATGCCATAGCAGCTGTACGTTGTGGTAATTATATAGAATAATGATAATAATTTCTAGGCAGCAGCGGTGGCCGCAGTAGTAGACTCTTCGGTCTCCTGATCAGTCGCCGTGCGCTGTGCGGGTTCGAGTTCCGTCCCAGGAGAATTTTTGCTCTTAGCTATGGATGTTGTGATTGTCCGTAGGTGGTAGACGGTCTCTGACTGTCGAACGTGGAGGTACCACCCGGCGGATCTCGTAGGCGGAGCCAGAATGTGTGCATGTTCCCTCGCCAGAGTCCGTGTGGCGTTCCCCCTTTCCCCTGTATCACCCTATAGCCCCACAGTACCCAATGGGTGTTTAGGCCTTAGGCCTTCGTGGTAGTTGGAGTATAAAAAAATAGATGGCTCCTTGTGCTATCTCATTTCAATAAACACTAAGGTGGCTGGTTTCACAAATGTACTGGCGATGACATTTGTTGACTGTAGCAAGTATGGTTGATTTCGTTTTAGAGTCTCCTAGCAAGTGAAGACTAGCACGATAGGTGCTTAGGAATTTTATTTTGATTTAAAACCAATAATTTCGCTTCTTTGTTTCATGGTCTCATCTTCACTATTAAATGGAGAAATGTTTTGCTTGAGCTTGCTGGTTTTTTGCGGATTGTATGATTAAAATTGAAGAATCAACACAAGATAGAGTCAGGTGGAGTTAGATCGCATGATGAGTCAGATTGCGTGAAATGTTATACTGAAGACTAAAGCCGAAGAACTGTGTGACAGTGACTACTAAAGAGACGTGAGGGAAATTCGATGCTTTGAACTGTTTAGTAGAATTGAGGAAACATCCTCGAGACTCCAGGAGCAAGCGATAGATCAGTTCTGGATGCGCGGATTTCGAAATAGAACGGGCAGCGGAGGTCTAGTGGTTAGTCGCAGCCCTAATGCCTAACGGCATCATGGCAGAAAGCTCAGAAAATAGGGACAAATGGCGTGTCAAAATTAGTAAGCAGTTGCAAGTACATGGTGCGGCAGAACCAAATAAACAGTTTCAAATACTACACATACTATTGAAGACGACTTCTGAAGCTCTCAACAGCTTGTTCACACACATCGCAGGGAATAGCGGTCACTTCATCAACAATCTGCCCTCTTAGGTTGTCTTTTTCTTTAGATATGTCCAGAAAAAAGCCACAGATGCTGATTGGGTTGCTGCTAACGGCCGCCATCCTAGAGGCATTATTTTTAAAACATAATAAATGTAAAGTGGTATAAAGTGCTTACTCCGAAATTAAAACCATTTTTTTCTATTGCCTTTTTACAAACCTTTGGAGTTTGGAGTATGCCCCTTCCAGATGCTGAAAAGAGCAACAAATCCAATGCATGTTCTTATCCATTCGTATAGAGCTATTTCCAGTAAATACCATGAAGTCCTATTAGTAAATGGCAAAAGTCCGTAAAGCTGGCTTCCAGTTGCAGTTGCAGCATTATTTGCCGGAGCTCATACGAACAGAAATATATAACAGTAGAAATAGGAGTAGAAAGATACCCCCTTTGTGATAGCCCGTCTCATCGATTACGAAAGCCTAGTGTAGCTCCGTAGGGAGATCGGAGTCAGTGGCAGAGATTTCATTGCATTCATGAGGGGCTAAAAGCCCATACATAAATAACTGCTGTTTCCTACCATTTAACCATGCCATTCATCCCTGTTACGAAAGCTCGTTGTCACGAGAGGAATGAACGGCAATTATTCCGAAGGGATTGTTAACTTGTCAAATCGAGACGCACAAATTGGTACTGAAGTGATAGATTTTCTCACTAACTGCCTAATATTCTGGAGGGAAAGACAGAAGAACATACTTTTTTTTCATAACAAGCTAGAGATGAAGGATTGATAGCTTAATTTCTATTCACTTTGGTGACAGGAAATAATGGTTAGAATGAATGGTAGTGAAGAACTGCCATTTTTATGTTAAAACACGATTTTAGGTTGCTAATTTAATTGATTAAAAAAATATTTCCAGAGGAGAGAATTTTTTGAAAAGTACTCTTTAATTCCCGCAAAAAAATTGCGTCAATTAGCTTGCTTATGCTTTCCTAAGCAACGTTGTCATCAATCCATGGAGGATCATATTCCGCGCATATTAGTACCATTTAGAAAACAAGCTTGCTCATGTAATTAGACTACAGTCCTCTCATATTTAACAACATTGGGCTCAAACTTACTGCCCTACTGAAACAGACAAGGGCAAATGTACTGGGAAGTCTTATTATGTATGAAGTATGCCTGATAGGTGCGTAGAATTACCGGGGCTGGAATCGTATGAATAGCACCAACAATTGACATATACTGCCCCCACCACTTACAATCTCTAAAATCCAATTTTTAACCTTTGACATTTTTTTTCCGACAATTATTAGCATCCTCTGACACGCCAAAAGCCAAAAATTGACCGATTTTCATTTTCTTTTTTGTTTTTTGCCTGTAGCTCTGCAGCAACTTCACCAAGTTTTTAAAAATTACTGATCTCCAGTGGTTTTTGGTTTGAGAGTAATATGCTCGAGAAACAATGTATGAGAATAGTATAACGTGCAGTGGAACAGTATTGGTGGTGAGCACTGCTGAGTTACTCCAAGTTACTCAGAGTAACTCAACAGGGTCACTGCTCAGGCGTGAACATTTCAATCAGTCAGATAGACTGCTGGAAATGACTGATTTGGTCCTTCGTGATGTCATATAACATTTAAAAAACGTAACATCTCAGCCCACGGCGCAGATAGTAAAATATCAAAATCTACGTATACGAGTCAAAGTGCATTCATTTTCCAGCAAAGCGTCTTGCCGAAGGCTTTTGAAATTATTAATCTATCATTTTTTTTTCTCAAAAATCATAACGAGCCCTCACTGTTATCGGCTGACCGCTGCTACTCTTTCTCCTCACGGTCGACACAAGGCGAGACGGTCGGCGTTTTTGTGAAAAGGAGCCGAATTCCTTCTTTTTATTCGAATTTACAATGGAGGCTTTCAGGCCAGTTTGCCGAGCGAAAGAAGAGCCTTTGCAACGAAGAACGAATGAAACCACCGGAAAAGGAGACAGCAGAGAAGGTCAGCTTAGCTAGAGCATATCTAATACTATACAGCAACACAACAACCTGAAAAGCATACTGAATATTTGCTACTGCCACTTACTGCGGCATCGCGCATCAGACCTATACTTCGACGATGTACCTGTAGAACAGCCCTTACGTCTTCTGGTAAGTTTGAAAAATCGGTCGACCTACAACTCAAAGTTGAATAAAAAGAGGCTCCAGCTAGATTCACAGAGAGGGCCACCGTTCCTTTGGCTCCCTCCCCTGCAGGCGCCTACATACCTGAAATCGTTCCAGAGGAGGTTTATTTTTGATGACCTTGATCAGGATGTTTGAAACCAAAACGGTTTTTAGTCATGGTCATATCTGATTATAAAATTTTACGCTACATTTCAGGGGTCAAAAGTATGAGGTACCATATAAACAATCGCTTAAACCTTGGTTCGGCCTTCAAGATCATTGTCAATGCAAATTCAGGATCACCACTGAATAGACATGTAAAAAACCTAAGACTACCATACTCTTTGCATATTCCCGAACATCTTTTTGTTTGTAATGGGTGATTTTTTTGCTAGTATCTTTTTGGCAACACTGTTTTTGACAGATGACGCGGGAATCGTGTCTTGTGTCATTGTCAAACTTATTCAGTTTGGTATATAACTTAACCATGAATCTACTTACGAACGAACAACGCTTGCAAATTATTGAATTTTACTATCAAAAGAGAGTGCATCGAGCACTGCTTCCAATTTATGGGTAATTTGGTCGGCCTACTGAGGAAGCTCTTCGGAAGCTTGTGACTAAATTTCGAACCCAGTTTACCTTATTGGACATTATACCACCAACACTCAGACGTAGAGTGAGGACTGAAGAAAATATTGCGGCTGTATCCGACAGTGTTACTGATGACCGTGAAATGTCGATTCGCCGCCGTTCGCAGCAATTGGGCCTCTGTTAGTCCACTACGTGGAAAATTTTGCGACAGGATTTGGGTGTAAAACCTTATAAGATACAGCTGGTGCAAGAATTGAAGCCACACGACCTCCCACAACGTTTCCAATTTGGTGAATGGGCGCTGGCAAAGTTGGAGGAAGATCCACATTTTTATCGAAAAATCGTGTTCAGCGACAAAGCTCATTTCTGGTTGAATGAGTACGTTAACAAGCAAAATTGCCGCATCTGGAGTGAAGACCAGCCAGAAGCATTGCAAGAGCTACCAATGCATCCCGAAAAAATCACTGTTTGGTGTGGATTATGGGCCGGTGGCATCATCGGGCCGTACTTCTTCAAAGACGACAATGGCCGGAACGTAACTGTGAATGGCGAGTGCTACCGTGCGATGATAACAAACTTTTTTTTGGCCAAAATGGAAGAGCTGGACTTGGCTGACATGTGGTTTCAACAAGACGGTGCCACATGCCACACGGCACACGAAACAATGGCCCTATTGAGAGGCGAGTTCGGTGAACAGTTTATGTCACGTTTGGGGCCCGTCAATTGGCCGCCTAGATCGTGTGATTTAACGCCGTTAGACTATTTCTTGTGGGGCCATGTTAAGGCTAATGTCTACAGGGATAAACCAGCAACGATTGACGCACTGGAAGCCAATATTGAAGCATTTATTCGTGAGATACCGGCCGATATGTTGGAGAGAGTGTGCCAAAATTGGACCTTGCGCATGGGTCATCTAAAGCGGAGCCGCGGCCAACATTTACATGAAATAATCTTTAAACATTAAATTATATCGACCGTTCTATCGACTCAAATAAAGATTTAATCGTTTTTTCAAATTTTTTGTGTTTTTTTGAAAATCAAATCCTATACCTCTTAAAAAATCACCCGTTATTAGCTGCTGGTACTTTCTGCATAACAATATGTGCGTCGTTAGATGAGCCAACTCCTGATATCGTCGATGGTTGCTTTGCTCTGCAGCATTGAATATACCAAGAAAGAAAGAACGAATAAAAGCACCGGAAAAGAAGACAGTAGGGAAGGTCAGTTTAGCGCTCCCCGCTCTGCAACGAGCCGAGAAGAAAATCTACTTTGTTTTGCCCGGTAAATTAAATACATCGAGGACAGCGGGAAAATAGGACGACAAAAGGGGGAATTAGGAAGATGCATCGTGGTTTGTGCCTTGTAGGTCACGACGTTTTGTGTTTTTAGTTTTCATTGCTTTTCAAGAACTGTCTAATCAAACTGGTTTCGAGTCACCAACATTATTTTGTAATAGTAATACACGTACATTGCTTTAAATGTGGTTCAAATAATTACTACCGTTCCGTTTTCAATTTTTTCTCTCTCTTCATAGGTATATCATTACAACAAAGCATTCATAGGTAAATGATAAATGCTTCTTAAAATTATATTCTGTTCTGGTAGTCATTTTGCCAACTAAACTCTAATTATGACGTATTTAAATACAAGTGAAAAATAACTGATGTAAGATATAACTCGTTATGTTATGTAGCTATTCTTGAAGACCTCTGTAATCGAGGCAATATTGGAAAACGGCCTTTGATACTAGTAAAATGAAAACACATTCTACCAACATTAAACACATTACTCTCTTTGAAAATGGTAATGGACCAGTCCAAATCGCTCAAATCTGATTCCTCTTACACTTGACTTTGATGTTGTCAGCTTGACCGCAAGCAACTAGGTATTAATAAATAAATAGTATTAATGTAATAAGTAAGCAACGTCATGATTGTTTAGGTAATAGTGAACGTAACGCGTAATTAAATAAATAATAAATAAATAAATCCCCATAATTCAATGGAAGTACTTAAATTGAATGTAGTTAGTAGTGAAACAAAGTATCTCGCTTGAGAAGACCATTATTGATCTCACACATCATTTAGTAAAGTGCTTGACCACTAGTGGCCCAGTTCGCAGCCCCTAGGCATTATTTTTCACTTCACGAATTCACTATAGTTTTTCATTTCTTCCAACCACATTGAACAGAATAATATACATTCTCTAAACTCCAGGGAATTCTGTACATTTTCATAAGTTTCGATTTTGACCGAAACTAAGACAGTTACGGCTAAAGTAGGGGAACTCTGAGATGTCAAACTCAAAATGACTTTAAGCCTCTTTGACAAAATCCTCCTGCCGTCCATGCTTATGACTGCGTGTTGTTACGTAGCATGTTCCACATTGAAAAGGTGATACGGCGCAGAAGGTCATACGTGACAGAAGGAGTAACTTCTCTTACGTCACTTCTTTATGGTAACGTGTGGTAAAAGCTGGGTACATGTTAATAATGTAATTCGGTGAAAATAAAACATGTGACGTATCAGTAGTTGATCCTTCTGTCACGGATGACAGCCAGCAACGTATGACCTTTCTAATATAGAACATGCAACGTAACAACGCGCACTATTAAACATAAGCAGAGCGAACATTTTGACAAAGGTGAGCTTAAAGTCATTTTGAGTTTGAAATCCCATAGTTAACATACTAGCTGAAAATCCAGTTTGGGCCGGCCACTAACAACAACTGTCCTGGAAAGATCATCTAGCAGAAAGTGTCGGCATCATAGACGATACGTTCGTGAAAATTTTTATTTTCGACAACCAAACCTTACTGAGAATCCACATAAGTAATTATATCATTCCTACTTTCCATAAGACCAAATAATACATGAAATACGAGAGAAACTGTTTCTTGATGACACTTACGCCTAACGATGTAATTCCATTCGTGACAAATTGAAACTTTATTTCGCTGAGGAGGAGTAAGGGTGACTGAATTATAACCTAAGTTCCCCTTTCATTAAAATGTTAATTAAGGCATACTTTGTAATTGCTTCGTAATAACTCGAGAAATAAAACAGTTTACTTCTGCTCTAATGTATAATTACGCTCGTTTCAGCTTCGGTTATTTCTACTGTGAAGAGGCTACGGAACATTCTAAATTCACGAATTTTCATGATACAGTGCTTCTACCTGGCTGAGTAGTCTGCTGTGATTCCTGACATTGTCAAGAAGACTTGTTCGGTATTTTCCAGCGTCCATCCGGATTAGATGGAGCACCGAGTTCTTCCAAAGGGCCATTCATTTCGGCTGGTCGGAGTCACCGAAGACTTGATCTTGCACTAACACATCTAGTTAATCGCGGCAGCTACGCTATTTGTATAGACTTAAGAAGTACTCTCCTCCAAATAACTTCCTCACTGTGAACAAGGCCCAGATAAGACCTAGCCTCGCGTACTGCTCATATGTTTGTGGTGCTGCTGGCCCGACCACACAATTCATGCTCGATGCTGTTGGGAGGAGGGCCGCTTGTCGCATCGATGAATCTCCTCTAATGGACAGCCTCGGGACCACTTCGCACCAAAGGGTTGTCGGTACTTGTCTCTGTTCTACCGCTGTCAGGCAGATCCGGCTTCCATCCTAACCATGTCGAGATTCCAACATCAAGAGCAGGCCGGTACAACCGCTCTTTTGTATTCACGGTGTAGAGATTGTGGGGTAATCTGTCTGACGAGGCTTTTCATTCTTGAGTAGTTCAAAAATCATATCAACAAACTGCCTTCAAACTCCTTATAGCAGCCGCGTTGACACGGATTTAGGGTTAAGCTTACGTGGTTTCTTTGGCATAAAAAAAGAAATTGATAAATGACTTAATGGGACAGATATTATGTTTTTGGATGTTCTATAATATGTACATCACAGAAAAACATGCCATTCGTTTCCGTTGATCTTTCCGTCTATCCGGGCCCATCTATAACTTGAGAAATACTGCTCGGATTTTGGTGAAATTTCCAGACATTATTGCTGTGGGCCAAGGACGAAATAGCTTTGTAATTTTTAAATTGGTCTAGTAGCGGCGAAGAAAAATTGAAAACCTCTCAAACTACGTTTTTTGACGTCTTAGAGGACCTGATCACATTTGAAAAAACATGTAGGGATAAAAATTGGGGGTTGGCGAGTTGTAGTGGGTGGAGGAGAGTGTATCGCAATTTTTGATGCTGGTATCTTAACTTCCAGCCACGGTAATTTTACGCACCTATTGTGCACAAAGTGAACATTCTTACGGAATAAGTTTTATTTCTGGGTTGTTCATAGTAATGCGCTACCACACGGCTACCCAGTATACGCGGGGAGTTTGATGTATACATATATTGGGGGTAGTAGAAGTTGCTTTTAGTGTATGGTGCAGATTGGAGTTCTTCTGTCCTATTGGTTGAGTACTGGAGTTTTGTTATAGGTATAACAAACCCTGGAACTTCCGCATTTCTCTTGCACAAACAAGCTCATAGAACTTCAAAATCAAATTCATATTTTCATATCCAAACTCTTGCAGTTTTTGTCGCTCAATTCATGAACTTTGTATCAACTGTGGTTCATTAAGGCTCCACGAACTTCCTCCTATAGTTTTTCTGGAATCCCATATTCCACCCTCCAACTACCGGTGTCGTCGCAGACTGAAACACCTCTAGCATCTGTGTCCTCGCTCCCTGAGGAGCAATTTCCATCTTTTGCTAGAGGTGATCCCGCAACTCCGTAATGGTTGATGATTTTTGGCTCATCTCCACGTTGAAAGACGTACAACTCTCGAGGCTGGGGACTTTAGACATTCCATTTACTGTGTAGGTACAATAGACTGCCCCTTTCTCTCTCTAATTTGATTACCCTTTATGTCGTAAACCTTTTCGTCAGAGTTCCAATACCATCTGTAAGTATGGGAAACCAATCCGCCAATTGCATCAACCTGGCAGATTACAGCAGGAATTCTACGCACGTTCTAGGCGTATTTCACACATCATTTGTCTTTAAAATAGAATGATGGAGAATGATGGAGACATGTTTTCGATACGCGTATCTGCGCTCAGCGCCTGGCGTACCGGTCTGCTTGATTGTTCTGCTCGAACTCGTAGTTTTGCAGTGCTAAAGTTTAAAATAAGGCTGAATGTGTCATTCGGTAGTACGATCATAATATAGACTAAATAAAAATAAATAGCCGATATTGAAATCACATGCATATTTTCTATTGCTCAAACATTTTTTAAGATATTCGAAATATTGTTTTTCCCCTCTGATTTATATACGAGCCCCTTCCCACTTCAGTTGGCCCAACTATTGAAATCTTAGTTTTTTTCTTATCAAACACAAATAATAAAAATGTAGCAGAGTGTTATAGGTTTAAAATATTAACAATGAATATTTTGATAATATATAGTAGAAAACACTAACTTTATCAATCCCTGATCAAATTTGCAGCATAAAAATAACACATGTTGCAATTACAGCATATCAACATATTTTCATTTCAATGCAAAATAAGTCTATAACGCATAGGTGGCTGTGAAAAATAAAAGCCATGACAATTGCTTTTATTAATCAAAGCTGTCAGAATACGTTTAAAATAGTTTTGGGTAGTTAAGGTTTTCAAAATGGGTAGAGGTAGTGAGAACATTCGGTTACTGATAATTAAATTTTTTAATTCAGGGAAATCAAACTCTGAAATTGCAACTTTGTTAGACTTGTCGCGGTACAGTGTGATAAATATTGTTAGAAGATATAACGTAACTGGTTCAGTTAATATTAAGCCACGATATGTGAAAAAAAGTAATATCACAAATGCCGACCGAAGAGCATTAAGAAGAATAATCGTGAAAAACAGGCATGCCAATTATTTACAATTAAGTGCTCTGTGGAGTGACGCTGTTGGAAGGAGAATTTTGAGGTCCACAACTCATAGAGAGGCCCACAAACTGGGATTTAGCACTTGCAAGGTAAGTTTTCTTATAAAAAAAGTGAAGTAAAAACTCTAAAGTTGCACAACTTGTTTATAGGCCAAAGAAAAGCCACTATTAACTCCACTGCAAATGAAACATCGGCTTAGATGGGCTAAAGAACATAGACAATGGACACCTCAACAATGGTGTGCAATACAATGGAGTGATGTGGCCAGATTCGAAGCTTGTGTTGGTGACAGTCGCAGTAGAGTTATTCGCAAAAAAATGAAGCATTTCATGTTGTGTGTCTGAAGAGAAAAGTGAAATTTCCAGCATCCATTATGGTCTGGGGCAGTATGTCATCAAAAGG